AAATATATTTTATTGATTTCAGAGAGGAAGGGATGGGAGAGAGAGATAGAAACATCTATGATGAGAGAGAATCACTGATCAGCTGCTCCCTACATGCCCTCCACTGGGGACAGAGCCCACAACCCAGGCATGTGCCCTTGACCGGAATTGAACTTGGGACCCTTCAGTCCACAGGCCAATGCTCTATCCACTGAGCCAAACCAGCTAGGGCTGGATGTGAATTATTGAGTAGCTGCCTCCTGCACGCCTTCTACTGGGGATCTAGCCCACAATCTGGGCATGTGCCTTGACAGGGAATTGAACTGTGACCTGATTCATAGGTTGATGCCCAACCACTGAGCCACAAGTGGCCAGGCTCTAGAAGCATCTTACCAGGATTTTTCATTGGGTCCTGTTGTTCAGAATTGGGTCATTTTCTCGGGCTTTAGCTGCAAAGGAGTCAGCATGTGTCTGGCAGTTTCTGCATCTAGAATGCAGAAAAAGGGAAGTGGCATTGGGTAGATAACAATGTCAGCATGTGTCATGGTTATCTGGAGGTAGTGGGGAGGGATTGACTTAGGAAGCTATTAGACCTTTTCAAGTTTAGCTGTTTTTGGATTTTTTTGGGTCTGGTTCTTTGAAGTAAGAGTTGTTTGAAGGTTCTTAATAGATTGAACATGGTACTCGGAGGACATGTGATAGTGGATTATATGGCATTCATTTATTAATACACCATTTAGTACATAGGAAACATCAAATTAACCAGTATTGGATATTTTTATTTCTATTGTTGAATGAAAATATTAATTAGGACCTGGCGTTGATAATGATACAAATAAGTGTCCTGCATTTATATAGTTACAGAGCACTTTCACACATATTATGAAAGTTGAATGCTAACCACTATCTCATAGTAGAGGAGGTAGCTTTTATATTAGCATCATTTTCCAAATGTAGAAAGTGAGACCAATAAAGTAAAATGACTAGTCAAAGGTCAAAATTAGGAGTCAGGACCACATAGTAAAGCAAGGGTGTATGTAAGATTGTTCAGGGTGATCATATAAGGTGAAGAGAGGTCAAGGAAGGAACCGCGAAGTGCATACTAGCTTGGAGATATTTCAGAAAGAATGTTGTGATGAAAAGAAGGCCAAGTAGAGAGTGCTGGGAACACCAGTACTGGTGAGGTAAAAGTAGGTTTACAGTTGTAAGTATGGAAAACACAAGAGTTTTTTCTTGTATTTACTAATTGTATAATTTTCCATACAAACAACTGTAAGCCTACTGTTGCCACACCCTGTGTGTCAGAGGAGAGTGGTGGAAAGCTAACCCCCTCTCTAACACACACTGCTTCAGTTCTATCCCTGATAGCCATTTGCAGACAGAAAGACATAATAGAAAAATCTGATATGCTGTCTCCTTCATTGTCTTGTTCTTCATTTGCAGATATAAAAATAGAATAGTAAGGATAAAGTAGACCATCGTATAGCTTCCTTTATCACCACTAAAAAAACAAACCACCACTCAATTCCTGCTATTATCAGCTTTGCTTTTTTATTTACACTCAAATATTTAAGAAATTCAATTATCCTTTTTAAAAATAACTCAGTATCTCATTTTAATTAAGTCTTTCTTAAAGTGTTCTAAATTAAATGAAAAAACCAACAGAAGAAACCTGGGAAGTTTTATAAGTTTCCTAGGGCTGCAATAACACATCACTAAAAAGTGGTGGCTTAAAACAAATTTATTCTCAGATTTCTGGAGTCCAGAAATCTGAAATCAAGGGGTTGTCAGGACTGTGCTTCTTCTAAAATCCTTCCTTGTCTCTTCAAGCTTCTAGTGGCTACAGGAGTTCCTTGGTGTGTGGCAGCTAACTCCAATCTCTGCCTCTTGCTTCATATGTTCGTATTCTTTATATGTCTTTCCTCTCTGTACTTTATAAGGACACTCAACATTGGATTTAGGGCCTACTCTAAATCCAGGTGATGCTCTCATCCCCAGATTCTTAATTATATCTGCAAAGACCCTTTTTCCAAATTAGGTCACATTCACAATTTAAGTGTTTAGGACTTGGACATACTGCGTACTGCAGATGTAAACATTCATTGTGAGCAATATAAAAATAATTGAGGTATGTCAATATATGGATTTAAGAATTTTTTATTTCTGGAATTTTTAATGTAAAATTGTTTGTTTTTTCATTAGGAAATATGCAAAAGCTGAAACCCTCATGACAGTTACTGATCCTGTCCATGATATTGCATTTGCTCCAAACCTGGGAAGGTCTTACCACATTCTGGCCATAGCAACCAAAGATGTGAGAATTTTTACATTAAAGCCTGTGAGGTAAGTTTTTGAAACAATTACTAATTTAAAAGTGTTCTTGACTCTTATTTTCATTTGTGGAGGAGAGTGTAGAGGCAACTGTGATCTGAAGAATGGATTCCTTAATGAACATTTCATCTTAATTACAGTCAAACATTGGTTCTCGAATGTCTCCCATCTTGAACAATTCATTTCTCAGCCCAACAACCCTTTCATGCTGATAGCTCTATGATCAGTCATGCCTCTCTCAGGCTACAAAAGAGAGTGTGCGAGTATGGCTCAGTTTATTGCTAAACTTCACGTTGTTAACATCTCAGGAAATTGTGCTGTGAATACTTCTGTGTTTTATGGCTTTTGTTGCTGCTTATTAATATTAATTTTTCATTTTTTACTGCATTTCATTTGCTTTTTATGAACTCACATTTCATGTCCTTTTTGTTTTCAAGTGTTTATTTATAGATTAAACAATACATTAGACATGTACTGTATATAAGAAAGGTTAAAACGGAATCATTTGTGGATCTGGAATGGATTGATTCACTTTACATTATTTCTAATGGGAAAAAGTGATTTGGTTTTTGAACAGCTTTCCAGAATGAATTAAGTTCGAGAACCAAGGTTCCACTGTATGTTTTATTTAGACTGATACTAATAATGAATTAGATCCTCTGAATTTAATTTGTATTCTATAAATGTTTGAATGAAGGTGGTTGTCTAAGAGAAAATTAAATTAACACTGACATTCTTGTGAATAACCTTTTAGCTTTAATTTTGGAATTGTGAGTTTGTCATTTTTTCTTCCTTCTATTCTTCTCTTCCTACTGCTTTATTTTCTTTTTAATCCTCACCCAAGGATATGTTTATTGATTTTAGAGAGAGAGAAGGCGGGGAGAGAGAAATATCCATGTGAAAGAATAACTGATTGGTTGCCTCCCAGACGGGTGTCCCGACTGGGGATTGAACCCACTACCTGGGTATGTATGTGCCCTGATGAGGAATTGAACCAGGAACCTTTTGGTGTATGGGCAACGATCCAACCATCTGAGCCTACTGGCTGGGCTCCTACTACTTTTCTTTTAAAATGATTTATTTCATCTATTTTATTCCTCTACTTTGGATGAATAAAATCCTTTTTTGTTGTATCTTCTATGAAATAGTCACTCATTATTTTTTATGTGTTGGGATCACGCCAGGTACTGGTGAGTCAATTTAATGTGATGCAACCCAATGAGCTAATGGGGGAGGGTATGGGTATGAGCTAATGGGGGGAGGGTATGCACATTATTATAAAATAACTAGAGGCCCAGTGCATGGATTCATGCACTGGTGGGGTCCTTCACCTGACCTGAGGGTATCAGGCCAAAACCGGCTCTCCGACATCCCCTGAAGGGTCCTGTATTGCGAGAGGGCACAGGCCAGGCTGAGGGACCCAATCAGGGCCCCGGGGGAGGGGGGGGCGGGGGTCCGCAGGAAGGCTCCAAGGCGTGTCTGGCCTGTCTCGCCCAGTCCTGATCAGCCAGACCCCAGTAGCAAGCTAACCTACCAGTCGGAGCTTCTGCCCCCTAGTGGTCAGTGCGCGTCATAGCGACTGGTGGAAGAGTCGAACAAACGGTCAGACACTTAGCATATTAGGCATATTAGCATATTTTATAGGATATGGTAAGTAGGTGAGACCATTTATATATATTTTTGTTTAGATAGGTGTGTTTTGTGTGTGTGTATGTAAACCTGTTTGCAGAATTCCTCAGGAACATTTTTTTGTTAACAGGAAAGAACTTACTTCCTCTGGTGGACCAACAAAATTTGAAATCCATATAGTGGCTCAGTTTGATAATCATAATTCTCAGGTTTGGCGAGTGAGTTGGAATATAACAGGAACAGTGCTAGCATCTTCAGGTGATGATGGCTGTGTAAGATTATGGAAAGGTAAGATTTCGATGAATAATTATTGCCTTATGTTGCTGCTTTAGAATTTTCACATAGAAATGTAAACTAAGTATTTTTGAAAAAAATTATCTTTCCATAGCTACTTAAAATTATGTCTTGTATTAATTTATTTTGAACCTTTATCAGTTTACCTAGTTCATTGCAGTTAAAGACTAATTGAATTGTTTTTAAGTTTCTGTGTGGAATAAAACAACTATATATATATATAGAGAGAGAGCCTGGTGCATGGATCCGTGCACCAGGTGGGGTCCCTCAGCGTGGCCTGTGGGGATTGGCCAAAACCAGCAGTACAGTGCTGCCTGCCACTGTTGACTGCCGCTCCTGCTCTTCCTGGCCCCGCTGTCTGGTAGGCTCGTTGCTGTTCTGCTGCAGTCTCTGGGCTGCAGTGGCAGCCAGCCGTGAACCCTCGTCTGGCGCCCGTAGGTCAGCTGAGCAGCACTCCCACTGTGGGAGCGCACTGTGTGGCCTGTGGGGATTGGCCAAAACCAGCAGTACAATGCTGCCTGCCACTCTTGACTACCGCTCCTGCTCCTCCTGGCCCCGCTGTCTGGTAGGCTCGTTGCCGTTCTGCTGCAGTCTCCGGCCTGCAGTGGCAGCCAGCCGTGAACCCTCGTCTGGTGCCCGTATGTCAGCTGAGCAACACTCCCACTGTGGGAGCACACTGATTTAGAAACATCAGTGATGAAAGAGAATCATTGATTGACCGCCTCCTGCATGCCCCTCATGGGGATCTAGCCCACCACCTGGGCATATGCTCTAATCGGGAATCAAACCGTGATCTCCTGGTTCATAGATTATGTTCAAGCACTGAGCAACACGGGCCGGGCAACAAAGCAACATTTATTTATTATTATTTTTTTATTTTTAAAAAAAATATTTTTATTGATTTCAGAGAGGAAGGGAGAGGGAGAGAGAAGAGAGAATCATTGATTGGCTGCCTCCTGCACACCCCAAACTTGGGACTGAGCCTGCAACCCAGGCATGTGCCCTTGACCGGAATTGAACCTGGGACCCTTCAGTCTGCAGTCTGTGGCTCTATCCACTGAGCCAAACCAGCTAGGCAACAAAGCAACTTTTTTTTTTAAAATATATTTTATTGATTTTTTACAGAGAGGAAGGGAGAGGGATAGAGAGTTAGAAACATTGATCAGCTGCCTCCTGCACACCCCCTACTGCACACCCCCTACTGGGGATGTGCCCACAACCAAGGTACATGCCCCTGATCAGAATCGAACCCGGGACCCTTCAGTCCGCAGGCCGACGCTCTATCCACTAAGCCAAACCAGTTAGGGCCAACAAAGCAACTTTTAAAATTGAAAGTAACTATCACAGAAATATGCAGTATCTCTAAAATACTGTTTGTTATATATGTAACTTGTGCAAACTCAGGATAAGATTAGAGTCATCTCTTATTTTATTAAATGACTGCTTTAGTCAACCAGCTATTAATAGGAGAAAATCCAGTATATTCCTCACTTCCCCCCTGCAACTCCCAAAAGTTCAAGAATTTGGGGTCCACTCATTCTTAAGTTTCTTACAAATGCCAAGTTGAGAGAGACTGTGGTCTGATGAGTCGACACTGTGGTTGCTGTAGTGTGGTGTGCACTTTGCACGGTTATTTATCCACTGGGCAGAGGTGTCTTTGATTTGTGCACCGCTCTAGTCCGTGATTTCCCATACCTTGGATCCAAAATTGTAAGTCAGTTCATTTACCCTGAACAGTGATTGTTTCCAAAATGCAGTTTGGCTAAGTCAGTTTTAGGCTGACTCTAGTCAGTGATTTCCCATACCTTGGATCCAAAATTGTAAGTTAGTTCATTTACCCTGAACAGTGATTGTTTTCCAAAATGCAGTTTGGCTAAGTCAGTTTTAGGCTGTGGTAGAAGCAGCCCAGACTTCCCTTTCTAAAGTGTAATTTGAGTTCACAGGCTTTGATGCCCTTTTCTGCTCTGGGACCACCCAGGTCCACCCCAGCAGGCTCTCTAACTTGGGTTTCCTTGGGCTCATTGTCTCCATTGACCAATTTTGCATTCAAAGAATTAAGCCATTTTGGATAAGCCACTCAAACCCAAAGGTTTTGTTTCCTACATCCTAATCTCTGAGGATATTAGGTACCCACTTGACTTATACTTGCGTAACCATTTGACAACTCCATTACCCTATATACGTATACATGTAATTGAAACTTGTTATAATTAAAATAATTTATCTTGATATTAACTTAATGTAATAATGTGGCACTTAGAGAATTATCTTCGAGGAAGGGAAATGGGAGGTGAAAGATTTATTTGTTAAATTAGTAATTCTTTTAAGACTTTAAAAAATAATTGTTAACATTAATTAAGATAATTGTTTTGTATTTTAAAATGTCTTTAACATTTATTCTGACTGACATGTAGCCTGTAGGACACTTGTTTCTTTAATTTTAGTTTAAGGACATGAATTAGATTTGTGCCCTTGAGCATAGTTATTAGTCTTATTAATGTATTTGACCATTTTCCTTTCAGCTAATTATATGGACAATTGGAAGTGTACTGGTATTTTGAAAGGTAATGGGAGCCCTGTCAATGGGAGTACTCAGCAGGGAAACCCAAATCCTTCCCTAGGTTCAAGTATCCCAAATCTTCAAAATTCATTAAATGGATCTTCTGCTGGCAGGTAGGCTGTTTTATGGAAAAACTAGAAATTATTTTATTTTTAAATCATTCTGGTAGCTATACTAAAGGTGTGTTATTTCGTGGATTTTAAGACTGAAGTAAGAAATTTACCTAGTCATAATATTACTTAGTCATAATATTTACAGGTAGGTTGTGAGGCCATTCAAACAAAATTATATTATGAAATTTAGGTAAAGAAGAAATATGGGATAATACTGAGGATTTTAGCCGTAGATTATTAGTGTGCTAGTACTGCTGGCAATGTAGCCTTTGAATCGGGTCAAACTGAAATCCTAAATAAAATACATTAATTAAGGCTTTTGTAGGGGAGAGTAAGTTAGTTTTTTTTGTTTTGTTTAAAATGTTAATGGAGATTATAAGAAGAAATGGTAATTCTGAGTACTTGATTTTTTAAGAATTTTTAACATTTTAGATTCTTACTGATCTTAATAAAGAATATTTGATGTGATTTAAAGAGTCATACTGTTGTTTTCGTATTCAAATTTTAAATATGTGAATTTGTATGGTAAAATTATTTTAATATGCCTTGTGAATAATTTGGAATATTTAGGAAACTTCAAGGTACAGCCTTAACAAACTGTCCTGTAGTTATTCTGTTGTCATCTTAAATAAAAGAATTGTATTTTAAAAATTCTCAACTATTTTGTATTGTTATATTTTTATAAAGAAGTCCTGTTATTTGATTTTGAGGTTTAAGTATTTGCATGGAAACAATTTCAGGTTACCATAGAAGATATCAGATTATAAAGATGATTCCAAGAAGCAAAGGAAACTAGTTTAAATTAAAAGAAAAAAAACACAAAATCTAGTTTTTGGTTGTTGCTTGTATTGCATATTTTCTTTTGTAAAGAGCTTTGAAATTTTGAAATTTGTTCTTATTGTGCTAATACCCATGTGTGTTAGATCTGTGATGCATTTTCCCTTCTCCAATTGTATTATGTCCTTTAACAGAAAGCACAGCTGAGTTCCAGCTAACTGGAGTAACTTTGCTGATTTGCTGCTTGTTGCATGCACACAGGAATGGAAAGCGAGCTCCTTTTCCCCTTCCCCAGCGCCATTTGACCTCTTCCAAGATACACCAGCAGCCTGCTTACTACTAAACTGCAATCCAAAAAGCTTCTAAAAATACAGTATATATCTTTTTTTTTTTTTTTGTATTAACCAGTTTATTGACACTAGTTGAAACTTTTGAATATAAATGGAGAGGCTTTTTGTTGAGACATTGTCACCAAAACAATTTTTGGAAATGTTCCTGAAATTAACAAGGGTTTTTAAAATGAGAAGGATTTATTACCACCCTTGTAAGTAGTTGGGAGGAGGGAAAATATAACTTTATTCCATTTGGAGAATGAAGGCTTATTTCTTTTGTTTTTCTAAAACAGTAAGCTAAAATGATGAATTTTTATAATTTTAATTTGAAGATTGAATAAATATTTTTCATAAAGATTGTTTTGAGTGCTAATGTGTTTACCTTTTGTAAAATTGGTTTAAACATGATATTCCGTACAACTCTGTCATTTCTTAGTAATATTTTTAAAATACTAGTGAAGGTGGAGAAAAGTAGTAGTAAAATGAAAGTAAACTGTACAGTTTGTAGCCAAATTAAATATTTGGTATTGCATCATTTAAAATTTGGTAGTAAAATGAAAACACCTTTGTAAGTATTTGATTCATATTCACTAAAGAGATAAATGTTTCTTTTATGTGCTTGTATATATTTATGGTGTGATTCTGTGGTTTAAATTTCCTTCAAGTCAAAATTTGGAAACATACTATAAGAGAAGCAGTTGAAATTTTGCTGACATTGTGCATGCACATTTACTTCCACATTCCTTGTCCCAGAATTTTCTTAATTTAGTTGGCTGCTTCATGTAGTTAATATCTTATAGAACTGTGACCTTGAAGACAAAGCCATAAATTTTTGTTTGCTAAAATGCATAATTATTATGGGTAAGTTATAATAAAATGTCAGAATAACAGCAATAGGACATATGCTTTGAGCCCTTTTAGTTATCACAATTGTGTACTATTGTAAGGATTTGCAGAAAACCAACTAAGTATTCAGAGATTGTATTTCTTTGAAAGCATGTTGCAATAACTGGCTATACTTTGTGAAAGTATATTTGAATTGGTTTTCAGTATCATGTTTGCATTAAAAAATGTGAAATGTGTGCCAGCTGTTACTACAAATGAAGCGTTACTTAAAATAAATTAAAAGCTTATTAGACTTGTAAATTTACAGGATAGCATCAAATGTTTCTGAGGTTAGAAAATGTTTTAAATTATATAATTGTCTTTTTTGTAACATTCATGCTGGTAATTTTTTGAACATTTTAAGTTTAGCAGATTGTAGTTTTTTCTTTCAAATTTCTATACTTGCTTAGGCCAGCGTGATTTGAGTAAGGGTCTTGATTTTTGCATAATATTATGTTCTGTTAGTTTGGCATGAATATATTAAAGCTATTTCCCCCCCCAGCATTTGTTTTTTCCTCTTTGGTTCTCTTTGTATTTACTACTTTTCTCTTTTCTTTCTTTTTCTGTTGTTTTGTTTTGGTGTCTTGTTCATGTCTTCATTGTTTCAGGTATTTCTTTCCCCTTCTGGATTCCCCACAGGCTGGATCGAGATGGTCCAATTATGCCCAGCTTCTTCCTTCTCCTCCTCCTTCCTCTCTTCTTCCTCTTCTGGTCGAGCACTCTTGTGATGCTGACACTGCCAACCTCCAGTATCCTCACCCTTGCAGACAGTCTCTGTCTCGGCCTCTTAATCCTTTAACTGAGAATGAAGGGGTTTAAAACATTGGCTTAACACTTAAAGGCTTTATTTTAGTGCTTGTAGATGCTTTCATTCTAGCTGCTTTTTGTTTTTCTTCATTTTTCTTTCAGAAGATTTTTCTAATATAGGGCTGTCTTGCATGTATTACAACCAGAACACAGTGTTTGGAACCTAAACGTATTTGTGCTTCTGCATCAAAGGAATATTTCTTCATTGGTTGATAACCTTTGATGAAATGAGCTATGTACAAGTAACATTCAACTGTGAGAATTACACCCACTAACTGACTTGAAAGTGCCTGTTCTGTAAATTTTACTTTGAATTGCTACAATGGTGTTAAGTTTCTTATGGTTTGTCATATTGGTTAATGCGAAAGCATATCATTATGAAGTTCACTCTGCCTTTGAAACATACTAAGAAATGTTTTTAATTTTATAGGTTAATATTGAAACTGACCAGTTTGTAAAATAAATCATTCCTGTGTATAAAGCAGCAAAACATAATATGGACTGTTTGGTCTTTTTATTAAACAAAGGAACTTGTTTTTATTACCTATAATTGCTGTTTAAAGCTATTGTAATTATTCTCCAAGTAGATTATTTAATAAAATATATTTTAAATATATGAATCTGTTGCCTTATAAAAATAAAATGTATTCTATTTGATAGTTGGTAAAGCTTGTTGCTAAAAAATATAATCCAAATAATAAAAAATTAGAGGATGGGTATGACATTTATTTAAAAGGTAGAAAGTCAGTAGGTAGACTAACATGTAGAACTGACACATATTGACTTTCAATCTAATTAGACATTAGATGATTTCCTTTCTCTTTTTTAATATTTTATTTTATTGAATTTATTGGGGTGAAATTGGTTAATAAAATTATGTAAGTTTCAGAGGTTAGATTATTTTCTAAAATGATACTTTTAAAATTTGAAAACAATCCTATATAATAAAACCCTAATATGCAAATCAACCGAATGGCAGAACAACCGGTCGCTATGATGTGCACTGACCAGCAGGGGGCAGACGCTCAATGTAGGAGCTCCTGCGTTGAGCGTCTGTCCCCCAAGAAGGAGGCAACTGGTGGCAGTGGGGGGGCGGGGCCGGACAGTGGGCAGCGCCGGCCACCAGCCAAGGCAGGTGCCAGCAGGGGCCCCCTGATCGCTCCGCTGACCCCCCCACAGATCGGCCCTGATCGCCAGCCAGGCCTAGGGACCCTACTCTATATATTGGGAACAGTCTCCTAGATTTAAAAATTAAAACCTGGCAAGGCTACTCTAACACTGAAAAAATAGGATGACGTAGCGATGACATGCATGGACTCTGGCTGGCACATTTTGTGGTCAGCCCTGATTCTGACACAACTGTGTGACAAAGCCAATTACTTAATTTCTCTCTGCTTCAGTTTTTTCACCCATAAGAGGGAAAATGGTACTACTGCCTCAGAAGGATCATGTTATGTACTATTTATAATCAGGGCAAAAAATGTAGCTGCCCATACAACAGCAAGATGCCTTTCACCTGTATGAAAAGTATGGTCACTGGTGCACGCAGTGTTCCAGATTGCAAGAGGGATGTCCGACTGCCAGTTTAGGCCCGATCATGTCGAAAGGGCGCAGGTCGGGCTGGCTCCCCACCTTCTCCCCGCACGAATTTCATGCACGGGTGGGGGTGGGGCCGGGTCCCTCAGCCCAGCCTGCGCCCTCTCACAGTCTGGGACACCTCGGGGGATGTCCGCCTGCCAGCAGTTGGACATCCATCTTGCAATCCGGGACCACTGGCTCCTAACCGCTTACCTGCCTGCCTGCCTGCCTGATCGCCCCTAACTGCTCTCTCC